CGCGGCGGGCTGAATGCTTTGGCGCAGACACTTCAGCTCGCCGCGCCCATTTGCCAAAGTCCAACGCGTTCCCTTTCTGCAACTGCAAGACGCAACCTAGTCTTGCCCGTCGTGCTTCTGAGTTATTGACTTTTTCCTCCCCGGCGCAAAAGTTATCTCTCCGTAAGTCGCGATGCTTGATAGCGGAGGCTCAGTTGATTGAACTGTCTCTTGGACAGTGTTTGAGACTGGGGGAGAAGGCTAGGCGTAAACTGCTCGGGGGTTGGGAAATCGACAAGGGTCCAAGATAGAAACCGAGGAAATTCTGGAGAGATGGCTTCTAATAATCCAAATGGAAAGGCCCATGGACAAGGCAAGTGGGCACACTCAAACAAGTCTTGGTGAGCGGCGTGGAGCCAATGGGAATATCTGCGGTGTCAAGGATAGACTCGCGGTCGGATATTACGTGGTCTGTGGTCTTGGGGAGATCACAGTCTGGCACGGCCGGCAGCACCGATTCGTGAGAACAAAGTTGGGAACGTGAGAACAGCTGTGAAAAATGACCAGACTGCCAGATCAGAGGCAGACAAATAGAAGAAGTTCAAGCCCGTAGTGTGGGAGGGACTCTGGCCTTTCGAGTGGACCCCTTGGCTGGGCCCTGGGCCTTGGAGAGGTGTTCCTACAGGTATGCCACTTCCGCAGCGGGTCAAGCTTGCACACTAGGCTTATGCTTAACCCAATGCCCGCAGCACTAGCTGGAGACGGGCCAGTGACCGCCATTCTTTACTGGGTCAGCGCCGAGCCTTCGATCGCTGGGCGCTGTAAGCGAGCAGCGCACCGTTTCGTAGGGGGAGAGGGAGACCCGGTATTCAGAGGGCCCGATAACCGCGGGAAAAAGAAATTCTGGCCCTCAATCGATCTCTCACTCAACTGGGGAGGAGATGAGTCGTACTCCGATACACGGAATCCCTCCAAGAAAAATCCATATACCGAGTTATCGTTTTAAACTTCTACCCTTGAAATCCAAATCACGAGGATCGTCCCCTTGTTGGGGATCAGCGCGTCTGCCTGCCTACCGAAAGGGAAATTGATTCCCATTTCTTGTTGGGTCTTTCCTGGCAAAGGACTCCGTGTCCTTTGACGGCCAATAACTGGTGGCCTTGCAATTTTCGGAGTGACTCTCCAATATTACTTGCGCACGGAGAAATATTGTCGTGGCATGACGCCCTGGGCAAAAAGCCTGAGTCAAACTAACACCCCATCCAAGGGCTTGGCATCAGGAAAGGTTCGGAAGCGAAGGGGAAGGGACACCACGCCCTTTTGTTTTGACAGGTGCGCATCGACGATGTACCATAGGTAATGCTGACACGAGGGTCTCTGGCATTATTGCCTAGATATCCAGGTGACACTTACTCGTATCTTCTGCTCGATATTTTTCTCAATAACAGGCAACCCATGTGCCAGCCACACTTCCCTTCCACCAGGCCGACATCGCCAATGCAAAATGCTTGGCATTACGCTAGCCAAGGCGCCAACAGTCTTGGTGGCTCTTGGGTTTCGCTTGGTGTTCTTAGTTTTGACGACCCTCGTGCCAATTGCCAATCTGACTCGCCGCTGGGCGCCTGGGCATCTGCGTAATGTCGTGTCTCGGCGCTTTCCCAGACGCCCCCTTGAATGCTTGGTCCGTTTCTAGGCATCTGCGTCCCTGGCCCATGTTCCCACCCATGATCCGGAACAAATTCCACCCTCTTTCACAGGCCCCTTTCCCAGCCAATTTTTTCGGTTTCACTTCACAGGTTGGACTGGTGAAACTGCTCATGGTGGTAATTATGGCGGCATTGACCCGTTTCAACGGGCGATGGCCAGACCCCAAGTCGCCTCGGCTTTACCTCGCGCAAGCAATGCCGGAGCATCTCCGCTTAGGCTTAAGCCTCTTGTTAAGCATGATTGCAGCCACCAAAGTCAAAAAGCGAACGGGGTCCCAGTCAAGCGGGCTTGGGTATCAGCCAAGCCGCGTTGGACTTGGCACATCCGGACCCGTAAATGACACGGAATGATCAACTGACCAGTGATAACGAGATTACGTTTTCCGTTTCTTTTCTTTGCTGAGCAAAACACCTTGTGGGCGAGCACCTTTTCAGGTCTGCCAGGAAGGGGGCTTGCGTGTTCAATTGCGAGATTGGCAAAACAAAAGTGGGAACTCTTTTTTTCCCAGACATTCTTAATTGTGGTCAATTTCTCTCCTCATGCTGACCGCATCTGTGCGCCGTCCTCATCCGTGTCTGGAATAAAAATACCCCGTTAACCGTACCAGGAAGATCGACGTTGATTTCTCGAGTCATTCATAAAAAACTGCTATGCAATTGCACACTACGTGGCACGCATAAAAGTTGGGTCCTTCGGTGGCAAGAACCAGAAATTCCCTCCCCACTTCCTTCACCACACCTCATCCTGTCGTCCGGACGCATGACCCATTTGGCATCCTTTATATTTCCTCGGCAAGTACCTGGTTGATTACTAGGTATCTTTCTTTCCCCCAAGTCCAGGCGCTAGTCACAAAAACAACTACCGCGTCTGGGTGCCATCCTGGCGGTAGCGTACTCCGTACTGGTAGTGTTGATAGCGGTGTGGAGAGCAGGCAACCACGTGGATAACAAAGAGACTCGGCGAACACACGCAGGCCCCACCTCTGGTTTTGTGCTTGTAATCCTGCCTTCGAGTGTGTACCTCGTACAGTAGCATCTTGCATCGTACTCGTACCGATCATTCGTCTCATCAAGTTTCTTAGCGCAGGGACACTAGGGTGACCTTGTTGGCCCAACCTACCAGCCCTCCTAATTATATACGCCCATTTTTGAGGTTTAATCGCCACTTGTACAGTAATATGTAGGGTCCTCCGCGTACCTGTCGACTGAAAATGGAAACAATATTCCAAGACGCCCGGCTCGACCCTTCGATAGCACAGAAGCTCTATTCGACCCTTCCCTCCTCTTCCTCTACGAGACTCCTGCGGCTCGAGCCAGGGTCGTACGACGACCCTTTCGAGGCCTCGATCGTTGTGGTGGATATAGCCGCGCCCTCGTGCCCCAAGTACGAATGTATATCTTACACATGGGGTGACGAGACATCGCCCAACTCCGTCCGAGTGGATGGGAACGAGGTCCCCCTCCGGTTGAATCTGGACCAAGCTCTTCGACGCTTTCGCTTCCCCACAAAGCCCAGGCTTGTCTGGGTCGATGCCATCAGTATCCGCCAGGACGATGCGGACGAGAAGGCCCAACAGGTCAAAATGATAGGCGATATTTTTCAGAACGCCGCGACGGTGCTGGCTTGGCTGGGCGAGCACGCTGACTCGAGCGAGATCCTCTTCAACATGTCGGAAGAAGCTGCGGCTAATCTGTTTGACACCAACCGTACCGAGTTCCGGCGCAGATACGACGCACTGGCTCGGTTCATGAACCGTCGCTACTGGCAGAGGACTTGGATTGTCGCCGAGATTGTCTGTGCCCGCGAGTTGATGATTTGCTGCGGCCCGGACAAGATCTCGTGGGGGCATCTTCTCAAGTACAGGTTCACCGACGTGATGCGATTCGATCAGGGCTGGACGAGGAAGTTAACCAAGTTGGACGACTCGAGAGTCGCCCATAAGTTTGCCCAAGACCCCTCCCACCTGTCTGATGTGGAATGGGAAGGCCACCGCGAACTACAGGGATATCTGTACGCCGCGGAAAACACCGAGTGCCTCGAGCCTAGGGACAAGATCTTCTCGCTCCGAGCAATCCTGCACAGCACGAGCATGCGCAGTGCCATCTGTGTCGACTACAAGATGTCTCTCCCTAAACTCTGCGCCGACATTCTGAAAGCCGCCCTGGTGGCCTACGACAGCGTCCGGAACAACATCGCCGAGTTCCTGCTGTTGTCGTATCAGCTCGACAAGAGCCTAGCAATGCCCCTGGTGGACAGACTTCAGGTGATCGATCATCTCCTCGATGACCCAGAGGGCGTCGAGATACCGGCACTGGATATTGTGAGTGACATGTTATCAGACGGAGCCGTGGAAAAGTTCTTTGGGATCGACTACGAACGCTATGATACGGACTGGAGCTGGGAAGAGAAGAGAGACCATGTCCTTTCGTGGCGCGACAAGGCACGACAGACGGGCAAGTGGCCTGCCACTCCTGGAACGGCGCCAGCCCCAAGTCTGGACAAGACTTGACAGCACGGTCGAACGCAGACTTTTGATTACCTACGCAGTCATACTCCCGCCAAACTCCCTGTCCTTGTTTTTGCTTGCCCCCCCCCCCCCCCCCCCCCCAACAATTCAAGATCCACCCGCGCATTGGAATGAACAGCTTTATATGAACTCGCCTAGGTGAGCCTTTCTGGAGGTTGCTCAGGATATGACTCCGAAAGAGTAGCAGTCCTATTTAGCAGTAAGTAAGGGAATGCCGCGACAGAATTTTGAGTACGGTACTATGCAAAGAACTGCGCGGCTTGTAAGACCGCCTATCTTCATCTTCATACTCTTTGGATATCCCTGGTAGGTCTACCAAAGACCTAATGAACCAACTCCTGACTTTGTCGCTCTGTCGCTATGTCCCTGTCTACCCAACCCGACCCGTCTACATTGATACCCTGTACTCATTCCCGTGGAACAGGTGGATAGGGCAGTGCAGTCTTTACTTCATGAACTAAAGTACGAGCCTCGAGCGGTATTTGGGACGTTGCAATCACGCAAGGCGCAGATGCAATGGTTCATAACTACTATCTAGACGCGATGCGGTGATAACATGACAGAAGTGCAGGAAGAAGGTCTTCGAATGAATGGACAGATGATCAATCTTATCGATCTTCAGAGCTGTGTTGTATCTGATCCATACATAGTACACATTAAGCCTGTTCCTGCAGTCTAATGTTTGTCAACGTAGCAAAAAGAACTTTTGAGACCCCGCGTCAAGTCAACTGTACAGTGACAGTGTGATACATCAATCATGATGACAAGTCTATCCCGCCCACTTCACCTATTTCTCGCCGCTGTCATATCCATTCACCTTCCGCCGCCTCACTTTGATGGTCGCGGTCATGGGCGGCACTAGACTCGTCCCGATCCACTTGCTCGCCGGCCTCTCTGGCAAAGGCTCAAACTCGTAGTTCTGCACCATGTACGCCAACAGCAGCTTCAGCTCATTCGCCGCCAGAAACCTCCCTGGACAGGCATGTCTTCCGTGTCCAAAGGGATGATATATCGGGGAAGTGCTGACAAAGGACAAGTTTGCTTTCCTAATGTATTCTTCGGTGGTGGTGGTAGCGGGATTATTCTTGTCCTTTGGGGTTTCCGATGGTTCTGCAATCGATAGGTCTCGCTCCACAGAGAAGCGGAAGGGGTTATACGTCGCGGCATCGGGGTAAAGCTTTGAGTCGTTGTGGACGCCATTGGTTGGGACAGCAACACGGCTGCCATAGGGACAAAATGTTCCGTCGGGTGCAGTGATCCCTCCTGGCACTACGACCTGACGCATCATGCCGGCTCCCAGGAATGAGCCCAGGCGAGATGATTCCCGCAAGGCCGAGTCTGTTTTGTACATTTTTGCGATGCCGGCTTTAGTCCAGTGGCCGTTATCAGCGGCAATGATGGAGCTGGCTTCTTCGCGGATGTGTTCCAAGTATCTCTTCGATGGGTCAGAGGCGACGAGGTCAAAGACCGCATTTGTGATGCTGAACGTTGTTGTGTGGATCGCCGCAAAGTTGACAGCCAGCAGTCTTTCGGCAATGATATCCGGGTCGCGTTCGCCAGGGTGTAGGCTCTCACGAGCTCGACGGATCGACCACTGCAGAAAGTCGTTGGGTTCGGGGTCACCAAGCTTCTTCTCTATGTCCCCGGTCTGACCCTCAAGAAGCCTCTGGCGTCGCTCGATCTCGGGTCGAACAAGGCGGGCGAAGGATTTCGTGTGACGTCGGTTAGGTCGTGCGATCAGGATAGCAGCAAGAGGCCGTAGGAATGCGGGTAATAGTTTCAGGAGAGTCGATGCAACTGGGACGGCATTGGCAAAACCGATCCCATGCTCCAAGAGTGCCTTGTTCCTACACAAGGGCAAGCCGACAAAGACACGATTGCTAGTTCGAGCAGTAATGAGCATAAGGGTTTCGAAAGGACAGACTTCCTTCCACTCGGTTGTATCCGTCCCCCAGATCTCATCAAATGCAGCACCTATTTCGTCCACAATGTCGATCGTGAGAGCTCCCAACTGGCGAGTGAGCTCATTTCTGATGGTCTCATGATGTAGTGGCTGATCAACAACGACTGGATGAACAAACGTGTATTCTGTCTGTAGGACATCCTTGTGTGGTTCGTCGACATTCAAAATGCCATCTGGCTGATTGATGAGCCAGGTTATTGACGACACTGGGAGCAGAATCTCGTCCCCGCCGAATTTCGCAAGTATACATGATTTGTTGTTCTTCGAATACTGCAAACTGGTAAGTGAGAATCCCAGACGCAACCAGGTCGCCGTACCTGCTCATAAGCCTGATGGATGGTCTCCCTGTAGTTGATCGTCGAGCGAAGTCTGGCACGCAAGGACGTGAACAGTTCACCTTCCTTGGTATTAAGCCAAGGGAGGTCGGGTAGGCTTGGTCTCGGTTGGCGTAGCTTGTATGAAAGCAGGAGAACAAGCACCACAACGAAAAGGGCGGCAGAGACTTGCGGCCGCAGTATGTATTCAATCATACTTGCAGGTCAATCCGACAGCTTTGGCGGTTTGAAAGAGCATCAGACTTAATGGAGACACGGTTCAAAACACAGTGCGGTGAGTTGCACTCCTTCGTTCTTAAGCATACCGCAGCGCTCGAGGGTCGTATTTGTGAGCTGACGTGACAGGCTTTGTCCATATGGTTTGTCCAGTCGTTGGGCCAAACGGAATATCGAGCTGACAGAAAGGAATGTCATCCAGCGGCCGGCTTGACCGGGGCAGTGTTCGGGATATAGCCGAACTGTTCACTGGGGATGTCAGCACTTCGGGCGGCTCAAGAAGGGCGCAAGATCACCCACGTTCCTCGTGGCAAAGCCATTCAGACGCCTCGGTTCAGGATACTGGAAGGATGCCAGGAGTCTTCGAACCAGAATCCGGAGCGAACATGAGCCGGATCTGATCTGGAACAGATGCGGCGAGGTGATCGTCGGTAGTCTTGCATCTTTAGGCTCGTCCTTCCCATTGTGTGGGTGGAGGCGTCTGATCGAGCGTGTTTCGCCAGAGGATTGGTGTTAGGAGAAGTTACAAGGAGTTGAAAGGCTGAAAATGGGGTGAGAACGGCGAGTGTTTTTGCTCGTTTCAAGAAATGTATCGACGCGGTGCTGAAACATGTAAGACTAATAATCAGGGCGCGTCTCGGAAGCTTTGAAGAAATCGGGGGAAAGAGATGTGAAGGACCGACGCTATACAATGTCGTATGCCAGAACTGTCACCTGTAACCGGGCAAGTAGCGACACGAGACGAATCGAAGCACTTGAAAGTTGGATAATTGTACTCGGTACGTGGAGGAAGTCACATCTTTCACGTTTCCATCAGGAGGTTACGCTCGGTAAGAATTAGGCACTGATAGGCTCTCGGGTAACGTTGAGGCGCCCGGGGAGACCTCGCTAAAGGTGCTCCTTACGGTACCGAGTACCTACCTAATCAGCTAATAATGTGGTTGCACGGCAGGTACTCGGTACACGCCTCGCCGCCTCGCTGCCGGAACCACTCGTAAACTAAGCCCCTCTAAGACGGTGATTACCTAGCCTTGTAGCCCTTACCAGCCACAGATGTGACGAGGGACCGCCACACCAGCAGCCACAGACGCGTCTACTTGGTACTGGTGATGCGAAAACACACGCTGGCGCACGTAAAGCCACTATCCCAAAACCCACCCCGCGTTAATCTGTTCAACGGACTGAGATGCATTGCGAGAAATCTTGTCTAGACACTGCCTGATTTCTCTCCATGTCAGTGCGGCCTTGACGCAGGCTCCTTGTCATGCGCCCCGAGTCTCATTCTCTTCGCACTGCCAATGGCGGACCCACGATTGAACCGCATCGAGGGCACCTTGACCTCTCTCCTTGAAAGCCTTGTTCCAGCCCTTTCTTCCGACCAAGACGACACTGATACCGAGTTCCGCATTGAACGCGCTATTCGGTATGCAAAAGAGACCGTTCTCGGAGCCGATGGCAGACTGCCCCCAGATACCAATCAGGCGCAAGACTTGATCAAGCGCAAGTTGTTGCGAGAGAATGCCTCTCCAGAGAAAGCGGCCAGGTTCAGCAATTTGTATTCCAGACTACTTGCCATTCCCGTTCTCAACCAGAAATGGGCCATTTTGTATCTCCTCTACAAGCTGTCGGACAAGTCTCTTCCTGAGCGTCCTCGAAACCCTCTTGCGGACTCGGAGCAACTCGCAAATATTCCGCGGCGACGTACCTTGTCCCCCGAAACCACTTTTACCGCGGAGGAGGAGCTAGAAGAAGATTATGATAATGAAGAAGGAGAAGAAGAGCCGGAACCGCCGAAGGTGTCGACCCGTAGCCATCGTGCCTTGTCAACCAGATCCCGAAAAGCCAATGAACAGATTGAACCCGCCGTGGAAGAGGAGGAACAATTACAGACTCAAGAACCAGTTGAAGAAAAACCTCCCGCGCAGAAGCAGGAGCCTCGAGTCATCTATCCTTCGGAATTAGATCTGCTGCGTGACTTGCCGTTCAATCTACAAGGCGTGTCATCTGCACATCTTCAATTCGCAGACAATGGCTCTCTCAAACTGCCCCCTAGTCTGCCGGTTCCCATTCTTTCACTCCTCCATGCACTCGCAGAGCCTTGTCTGCTCTATCGGGGATTAGCAGAGTATGCTGCAGGTCAGGACGGAGGTCTCATTGATCAGAGCCTTCGTTCCGCCATCAACAATGAGCTACGCTCCTACTTGAGCCTGGTCGCCTCGTTGGAGACCGAGGTTCGACAAGCTTTGGCCTCTATTCAGAATGCGAAAGACCCGAAAGTGGTGCGCCTCACTGGTGTCACGTTGAAGCGATGTCTGATTTGGACAAGAGAGGCCACCATGGCCCTTCGATTGATGAAGCTGATTGTCGAGGACTCGAGGCAGAAGCGAGGAGGGCAAGTGCTATCTCTCATACACAACTTGTCCTCGTCCCATGGCGACCCCTTCGTGGCGTCATTTGCGGAAAAGCTTCTGGCACATGTTGCACGTCCGTTTTATGAGATGCTCAGGCATTGGATCTATGATGGAGAATTGATTGACCCATACCACGAATTCTTCATAACACAGCCCGATCCAACTGCGCAACCTGCGGTCGATCATAGACACGTTGCGACTTCCGTGTGGGAAGAGAAATACAAGCTCGACTCAGGCATGGTACCGTCGATCATATCGTCCGAGTTCTCCAGAAAGGTCTTCTTGATTGGCAAATCTCTCAACTTCATTCGCAACAACTGTGGAGACTCGGACTGGGTCATCAAATATTCCAAATCAAATTCAAAGTCACTCGACTATGCAAACACGGCCAATCTCGCACAGTCAATCGATGTGGCTTACCGAACGACAATGTCGCGATTGACGCATCTGATGTCGACGAAATTTGGACTGTTCACACACTTGACGGCAATAAAGAAGTATATGTTGCTGGCCCAGGGTGACTTCTTTGAACTCCTCATTGAGTCGTTGGCTCAACATCTCGATCGTCCCGTGAATTCAATGTACCGACACAACCTTACGTCGCAACTGGAACATGCCATACGGCACTCCAACGCCCAGTATGACGACGCCGAAGTGCTGCGACGATTGGATGCCCGCATGCTTGAATTGTCGAGCGGAGAGATCGGCTGGGACTGTTTCACCCTGGAATACAAAATCAGTGCACCGTGTGACGTTGTCATTACTCAGTGGGCCAACACGCAGTATCTCAAGATATTTAACCTGCTCTGGAGAATCAAGCGGGTCGAGTATTCCCTCAGTTCGACCTGCAAACGATGCATGACGGGCGGTCGAGGAGTCCTTGCTGCAGTTAGTGACAAACTGGGCAACGATTGGAAACGGTCGAGATGTGTTGTCGCAGAGATGGTTCATTTCGTCAATCAGCTTCAATATTATCTTTTGTTTGAGGTCATTGAGGCCAGTTGGAAGAAGCTCGAAGAGGCTTTGCACAAGCCGGAAGCCACCCTTGACGATCTAATCGAAGCTCACACCAATTACCTGAACAACATTACGAAAAAGGGGTTGATCGGGCAGCAAAGGCACCCGGTAACAGGCCAGCAAGAGGACAGCCTTATTGTCCAAGTCCACCACATCCTGAAATGCATGCTTGCCTATCGAGAAGTCATTGACTCGCTCTACTCGTACAGTGTTGCAGAGTACACTCGACGTCAGCAGTTCAGTGCGAAGATAGAGCGACGAACTGCTCAAGGGAAATGGGGTATCACCGAGAAGGATCTCCTCGGTGATTCGAGGGCCAGTACTCCCACCTCCGTAGCAGGTGCAGGAGCTCTCAGGGGTAATCAACTCCTCGTCGAAGAGAATGATTCATCACTTGCTACACCCAATGAAAATATACACATTGGGGACGACGAGACTCATCTGAATTCTCTGAGGGCACGACAGTTGCATCTATCGGCCGATTTTCGATCGCGGCTCAGCATGCTGTTGTATGATTTGGCACACCAACCGGACGTCGATCTGAGATTTTTGGGAGTTGTCATGAATTTCAACGAGGTGTATCAACCCGTGAACATCCGGCGGCAACAAGCTAGACGGGCTCGAGAGAAACGAGAACTGGAACGGAAGGCTCGTGAAGCCACTGTATCTTCCGAAGGCAACATCTCTCTGGATAAGGACTTGAACAGCTCAGCCGCGAAGTCATGAGGTATAGCGAGAAATGCCATCTTGGTCGTTATTTCCGAGCGAGGCCCTGGCCCTGAGCTGAAAGGAGCTGCTTTGGAAAGAAGCCGTATGGCCCTAGAAGTCCTGCGTTGGTTATCCGGACGTGATGATGGCAAGATCAAATAGAGGTCGCTCATGGCTCTGCAACCGACCTTTCATGCTCCGAATCAACATCTAATAGTTAGACCGCCTTGAGTTCGACCTCTGTCATGAAAAACGTCCTCCCTAAATCAACGCGCATTGATTGTACAATGGAGAAGACTGTCCTCCTACTATATGGCCCCGCGAACGGTGACCGATAAGTCACCTCGTGTCATTTCACGGCCGCTTGCTTGTTCTTATACAACAAGCACTCCGGTGTACAGCTCAGCATCAGATTCGATTCCCCGATCCCGTCTGGAGGCTCCGCACAACGACGACGAATGAACTGGTGCTAGGGCTTTCTTGCGAGGTCAAATTGTACCTCCTGGTCAGACTCGGATGGAAGGAGGACCGTTGTCGGAGCTGTAAAACCTCCCTCAGATCAATCCCCCTCGAATGCCAGCCACTCGACCTCTGCTCCTCCCCGGATGGATTCTCCCTCGCTTTGAACCCAGCCTGGCTCCTTGCCGCCTACAGCTTCTCCTTCGAACCAAGACTTTATTTCATGGGGCCAGGGCAGGACAACTCAATAGACAACCTTGGAGAGTACGCTTGCAAAACCAACCGGGTCCCCTTGATCCATTCCTCGAAAGGCGCAGAGGGGGTCCGTAAAGCTAGATTTCGGAACTTTGTATGTCCTCTTGCACTGTAGATTTGGAGCGAAAGACCCTGTTTAGATTGAGGAATGGTCGACGAGGAGGAGAGAAGATCGAGTTCGAGGTGTGACATGATACCTAATGATAAGAAACCGAAAAACCAAGGATTTTGGGGGAGAATGACGAATCATGGATGGCGACACATATGTACATGGGTAGTATCACTACTGCCCAGCTGGGTATCAATACCTATAGTAGACCTAATCACCCTTTTGTCTTGCTTTGCTGTTTCCCATATGTACCATCTCATATGGAACACGGACTATATCGACCGTCCGTCCATTGGCGTCATTAAAAAAATACCAAAAATCGCTTTGATTTTCCTTAACGTTCCATTGGTATCCTACCCTACCTACCCATCACACTACCCAACACTACCTACCTACCGAGGTTCGCACCAACCATGACGCTCTTTCGGGGAGAAAGGATAAGAGATCAAAATACCGTGCCCCTGACCTGGGCGACCTTTTTCACGTTGATGTTCCGGATCAGGAACATCCAGATGAGCGACAGACCCATGATGCCGGTGCCGACGGCGAGCATGCGGGCCTGGGCGTAGCCGTAGGCGTGCTGGATGCCGCGGCGCTCGGGGGAGCCCTTTGCGTAGCTCAGCTGGACGTCGAGGCTGTTGTAGATGTCCGCGAGGTCGGTCGGGGAGATGTCGGCGGGGAGGTAGCGGGCGAGGGCGTCGGCAAAGGTGTTTGTCCAGATGGCGCCGGAGATGGTGTTGCCGACGGCGCCGCCGACGTTGCCGACCACGTACAGCAGGGCCAGCACGGCGGCGACGTGCTGGTGGTCGGCGGCCGCGAGGATCGCGATCTGCTGCACGATGATGAAGATGGCCCCGCCCACCGCGATCAGGATCTGGCACATGACGATGTACCCGATGCCGCTGTCGGGGCGGCGGAAGTGGATCATCAGGCCTTGTGCCATGATATACAGCGGCACGGCCACGAAGAGCAGCCACTTGAAGTAGCCCGTGCGGCGGATCAGGAGGCCCACGAACAGCAGCAGCACCCCGGACACGACGTCGAACGTGCTCCCCACGTACCCGGCCTCGGCCAGCGTCAGGTCGTTGACCACCTGCAGGAACGACGTGAAGTAGCTGTTCCAGCAGTAGTACGACACCTGGTACGTGAAGTCGAGCAGGCACGCGCCCACCACCGTCCGGTTGGCCAGCAGGTTGACGTGCAGGAACGGCGCCGGCGCGATGTACGCCTCGTACAGTCCAAACGCCGCGAGCACCACGAACCCGACCACGATCATGGCGATGATGTAGTCCGTGGCCCACCCGTTGGGCGCAGAATCGGCCAGAGTGAACGGCAGCAAGAAGACCGTCAGCCCGCCCGCGAAGAGAATCACTCCAGGAGCTGTTTCGTAGCGAATAGAAAAGAAAGAGTGTCAGTCAAAGGTATACATGACATGTTGGGAATAGATCGGGCGGACCGAATCAGCCACATACCATCAAATTCTTGAACATAGTGCCAAATGTTTTGCGTCAATGTCCGGCCACTGCGCTCTCTGGCGAGGAGGCCCTGTTTCGCGGCTTTGCGCAGGTTGAGCTTCAGAATGATGTACAGCGGCGCCGCCACGAACGGCAAGATGATGGCAAAGCAGCCGAACCCCCACCGCCAGCTGAGGTTGTAGTAGAAGTCGTCCGAGGCTTTGGGACCCGCGAATGCAGTGATCATGTATGGCGACGATGTGAATGCGTACGCCAGCCCTCGATTCTTCAGCTTGGACGCATCGGCCGTGATCACGTCGATGCTGTATATCAAGCCCCCGAACCCAATGGAGTAGAATACCTAAAAGATCGTCTCGTGGTTAGCCTCGTGTGACCCTCCTCCAGATGCTGACTCCTCTGCGTGATGGGTGCTTCGCGTACCTGTGCTGCGCAAAATGTGGACAGACCGCTGCCAGAAGCCATCAAGATCAAACCCAATGTGGCAAAGGCGACCATGAGAAGGAACCCTTCGGCACGACCCCAGATGTCGAGCATCTTGGCCAGAGGAATATAGATTGCGGCACTCATCGAGTTGGCGACAATATAAATGACGGTCAATAGGGAGTGCGTCTCGAAAGAGCTCGTGGCGAAGGGAACCAAGTTATACAGGATCGACGACTGGAAGGCATTGACGAAGTAGAGGAGGAACATCCTGACGAGGAAACAGTCAGCCTAGAGCACTCTCTGAGTGTCTACCGAGCCGCGGAGACACCGCTGGCAAGGTCAGTCAAACATACAGGATGAAGACGGCGACGAGAGATCTCTTGGACCAGGTCAGGGTGACGGCCTGGACATCCTGGACACCTCTTTGGGCAGTTTCGTCAAGCCCCTCTTCCTTCAGGTCCTCGTCATTGATGTTGGTGGTTGTTGTTGTGTTGGCCTCGATGTTGTCTGTCGCTGCGTCTTTCTCATCTCTCCCCACCGGGGTCATGGGGACAGGAGTGACCACATCTTCAGTGGTGGTTCGACGGAATCCAGGCCGGAGCTTTGGAAATACTGGCATTGTGTTTGGGTGAAAACAACCACAGACGGCGGGGAATGGTAGAGACTGAAGGGGGAAAAAAGGCAAAAGGGAAGAGGGAGCTTCTAGCTGATGTGCCCTGCAGATCTTCCTCACTTACCTTTTTCACATGGAGCGCAAGCTGCAAGCTGCAACCTCCAAGCAGCAAAGCCAGCATGAAAATTCGCAAGCGAGGGCCCCTCCCCTCATGGCACGGTTGCAACTCTGCTGTCATGGGTTCTGGGAGGCGCACAAATAGTTTGCTACCAATCATGCACCAACCATGGCCCAATGACTCCCAATGGACCCGATGTCGGGATTTTGAGTTGCGGGATGGATACTGGCTTGACTTGCTTGTCAATGGGAAGCTCAAGAGCCACGAGGGCCACGAGAACCACAAAAGAAATAGCCGACTTGGTAGCGTCTTGTTGGTCTCTGTTTCTTGACGAGGCTTATCAATCTTATGACGGGATAAGATTAGATTTTGCTGTTGCAATCGGCCGATTATCTGATGATCAAATCTTTTTTGCTGCCCCCCAGTCGCCCCCACCGCATTCCAGCCCCGACACCGGACATTGATTTGCGCAGACGTGGTCCCTGTACCTCGTATATTATTGCACAAAGTACAAGCGAAGCTATTCGGACCTATCAACCCCATCGCCAAACTACGACCGAGAACCCTTGACCTTACACAGCACACTTGCGGACAGACGAGCGGTGGTTGATTGGTACGCAGACTCGAATCATGCAGGGGTGGTCACTCAAGATAGCTATGTAGGAGACATAGCTACGAGCAAGGAAAAAGAAAAGACAAAAGACAACGACAAGGAGTCATGTGTGAGAGAGAAAAAAAGTAGAAAAGTCGCCAACGATAGAAAATTCATTGCCACTGCCCACAAAGGCCTTCCTCTGCTTTACCCAGCACAGGATCATTCTCTGGCTTCGGCACAGACCACACCTTGTCGAACCTCCCCACGTCCTCACCACCCTTTGCAAAGTCCCAGTGACCTCCGCCCTTGGGATACGCCCCGATCATGGTGAACCCGGTGAGCTCGATGCCGGCCAACGTGTCCTTGGTGCTGCTCCCTTGCCCGGCCACTGCATGTCCATCCCCGGGCGTGAGGAGCTTGAACTCCGCGGCCGGGGACGTGTTGAATGTCTTATGCGCCGTGCCGGCGGGCAGGATGAACACATCCCCCGCCCGCGCTTCGATTTCGATGCCGCCCTCCTCCCTGCCGGATCCGTAGGTGCTCTCGTCCAGGTCGGCGACGGTGTCGGCGACCCCGAATCGGATCGTCGCCGTCCCTGTCAGCACGGCCATGCACTCATGCACTGCGGAGTGGTAGTGCGATCGCTGCGATGGGCCGTAGCGGAAGATCCATTGCGTTTCCCAACCGTTCGCCGCGAAGAGGTCGTGAGCCTTGGTTGCGATGCTCTCGTCAGTCGTGTTCGTGGATGACAGGAGACCAGGGTAGTGGAGGAGGGGATGTGGCGAATTAGGAACGAGCGAGGTTGGTGGGAGATGGTACTTCTTCACTGTGACCATGTTCTCTATTCCCCCCGCTATTGTGCCGTGGTATCGTGCGCTTTATCAATTCTGTGTAGTTCGACAACAGAGGACGTCCTGACCATGTAACTGGTTCCAAGCCCTCATGAGCCGACGCAGGTTCCCTGGCTCCCCCGCTTCTTTGAGAAAGTGAGGGGAGGATTGATCGCCCATGACACTCAAGGATCGGCAAGATCAGAGACTACTGAGGCTTCGCCGGACAAGTCGTCGAGATCATTCTAGAACTGCGGTAAAGAGTCCACTTGATCACGAATTGGGCTTGTGAAATTTGTAGTATGCGGGTATCCTGTTGTACAATTTTGCAGTCGAAACTACAATCTTGCCGAGATGCAGCCCCACCTGAACTCTTCGCAAGTATTTTCTCCTAGGGCTCCTTTCAATGATCTATGCTGGTACTGTCGAGGGAAATAATACTCTCACACCTCGAGTGCCACATTTACAAGACCCAATATTCTCCTCACCCTCCGAAGCCTTTGGTAACCCTATGCCGGTCTTCATAGACACAGCTCCCACCCAAGTATTATAATGCTCCGTCCATGTCGAACGCCCCCCAACTTGTCCATGAGTGGACGAGAAACCAAGTGTCAGACGCACAAAAGGAGCGCGTCCTCACCAGAAAACCGATCCCCTCACCTCGTTTGCTTGAGGATATATGATTCCTCTTCTGCCCATGACCTGTCGTATCTGTAGAGAATCCACCAGGCATGAATGACGCCTGGGAACCACCATAATATACACAGTAAGATGTTGATGATGAAGTCTCCATTGAACCCCGTCTTGAGATATACCGCCGCTGGGGGGAGGAAGAGGGCGAGTACGTAGAGGAGGATGTCGGATGGTGATAATGATAGTCGACTCATAGCGTTTGACTCAAAATGTGTCAGACTATATGAGTATGTAAGTGTTGTCGTGTTGGGTGTTTTCTGTTCCACTGGGACAATGTCTGGTATTTGATTCGATGATGTGGATACGTGATGTTTTGAATTTCTGCTGTTGAAAGACCTGGATACCAATCCAACACTGAGATGACCCTTGCGAGAAATAATAACATCGATCATTGAGACTTTTCATCGTCCGTCATTGAGTCACACCGACGACGAGACAAGACAAGGCGGATCATCCGATCCTCACCAGACTCAACTTACCCCAGATGTGCTGCGCGAGAAGATTGCGGGATACATAGTTGAACAAGTACAAGCCACAATGACCTCTTAACTTTTTTCATTATTAGCTCCAACCGCAGCTCCTTGGGCGGGACCCGACAACTCTCTCCATCAATATTGAAAGGAGGATAATTGAGCGCGTGACATCACATGGTCTCGGGCCAAGGCTGCCATCAGGTGATCTTTATGTGGAAGATGCTGACGTGCGACATTTCCCAAAAAGAAGAGATGAGAGATGCGCTATTGGTAGTGGCGTGCCCTAGACTTCGAGACAAAAAATAATATTGATTCCGGAGAGAAGGTATCAACATGGATGAGAGAGAAAGAGAGAGATTGTGGAGAGCTAGTAGGTCTGAAGCCGATCTCTCCTTAGTCAGCGACTATCCCTCGGGTAAAATATCCATCACCATCGCCTCTATAAGTCCACAGGCGGTTAGGTCCAAGTCTGATGTCGCCATCTAAGAAACACGGAATCGAAAAATCACCTCTGTCATCTACTGCCCGTCTCGACGCGGCCGTCCCTACTTGTACAAATCACACAACGAAGGAGACTTGGAAAGCTACAGAAGTCAGAGGCGCCCGCGGAGCAGGCTCAGGCCTCACCGAGTCCCGATTGGAATAACAAGGCGCGATCTATCTACCTCGATTTCCCCGTGGGTGATGTTAACAAGGTGTTGGGCGTGGAAGATGTTTATCTCGGGAAGGATGGTTCCACCCAGTGCGGCGGAAAACCGCTCCCAGACCTGGCAGCGCTGAAGTCATTGTTGAAAGGCGAGGATCTCATCAAAGGGTGGCTAATTGGGTTAACCCAAGCAATTGGTTGGCGATAATGATCGCGGGATATCATTATTCGTGTAGGATATTGTCTATCTTTCAGCAAATACGGCTCATTTCATCTCGAGGCATAGATTCGATTTCTATATTGAAACCATCCAGACTTTCCAAAGCTAGCGCCGGCTCGTGCCGGCTCGCGCCGCTAGAGGGGGTTGTCACCAGTCGAGCAGAACGCATCGAGATATCTCAGGTCGGAATCCGACTCCTTCGCAGGAATTTTCCTAACTCCATCTTCCCACACGAAACTGTAACGCAAGAAGAAGCCAGCCATTCTCGCCACACGGATGGCTCGCCTATCGTTCTCCGAGATTCGACCAACAGCCTCCTCAAAAGTTTGCCAGAACAAGTCCTCGAGTTTGTGACGGTTATTGTAATAGTGCCATCCTTGAGAATCCATATAGCCAAGTATGTTCTCGAAGGCCCACAAAGAAATGCCGAAAGGAAGGATGCTAGCCTCTGCCCAGTCGATAATCCCAGTGACATGCCCACTGTTGGGATCCACAAAGATATTCATTTCGCAAAGGTCGTCATGACTCAGGACTAAAGGATATGCCGATGTAAAGAGCAATGAAAGTTCTGCACGAACTCGTCTTAGATTCTCTGTGAATCGGGAGGGCAAGGCTTGAGAAAGGAGGTCGAATTTATGCTTATAATCGTGATTGATGGCTTCGACGACATCGCAGGGTAGTGTTTGCCTATGCTTCCACGACGCTGCGAAGAATCTAGCCCATAAATTTAGCTCATCCTGAAGTAGTAGTACAGGTATAATGTACCTCGCTAAATCCACCACGGTGTTGGACTGTCGTGAAGCTGCCTCTAACGACGGGTTAGTGGAAAGACCATACAGGCATCGCGCTTGAATATAGGCAATTCCAGGAAGCTTTTCAATCACGTAGACAGAAAGTGGTAATGACCGGCCAATATTTCCGTGATAGGTGCAGGCCGCCACAAATTGTCCATAAATTGCTTTAGCCAGATTCAAGATCACCATGTTTAGGACTGAGTTCTGAGCCCGAAATTGCACGATCCTGGATTGCTTGGCTCCTGCTATGACAGTATAGCTGAACGCACCCTGAATAGGTGCAGGAATGACAGGTTCACCAGCAAGAGAGACAGCAAATTCATCGCATTGTTGCCGTGTCACGGTTGATTGAGTTTTAAAGAAGCTGTTGATTGCATTGTCAAGGGAGTAAATGGGATACATAGTGGCAGAACATGCTGCGGCGAGATTTATTACAGTGAGATCGATCACCTTCGTCGGAATGAGAGGTGAACACGCGAGTAGAGAGAATGGAAAGTTTGGGCGGCGCCATCACAGATCAACACAGGGTGTTGATAGGGCCACTAGACCATTTTCGGGTAGCGTGTACCACGTGACACATAAGCTACGCAACTGACATTTCTGTTGCACACCGCCAAAAGAAATTCCAGCAAGATACCAAATAACGCGAACGCTTCCGCCTCTTCGTCCCAAACAGGGATCTCTGGCATTCACATAAGTAGAACGCCGACCGGTCTTGGGAATATTGGCTAGTCTCTCATTTGAGTAGAGAGTGCTTGTATGGGGTGTAAGTAGAGATACTTCCTGGGCAGGCTGGGGGACAGAGGCAGCAATGATTAGGGCAAGGAATCGTCTATCCAAAATAAAGGAACAAGACGCCGATGATTATGGTTGAACTCTCTAAACCGTGTCTCGCCACGTTTTCTCGCCACGTTCCATACTACCACTGATCAAGCAAAGCAGTTCCCGGACATTCATTCTCAATCAAAGCCAAGGACCATTTTATCCTAGCATAGAAGTGATATCGATCAGCGAGGTAGAAAGGAGAGAAAGGGATCAGACTTGACACATTCGCTCGAACCTTGGAAATTGAGAGCGTCGACGAGATGTGAAGTCGAGTTCTGCTAAACTCACCACATCAATGCCGACGATTTCACACGAGGACGACAGTTCACTGTTAAGAAAACACTATTTCCCTTGGCGAGGCTGCCCTTCAGCCTCGTCCCCCTCTGATTTGGTTGCACCCGAAGCACCCTTCAGACACAACACCAGCCCGTGCCCGCATAACCAACCCTGAGAACCGCATTCGCCACCCATAGTTTACTCCTGATCTACCCAGCTAGTTGTCTACCTACAAGGACATACTGTGCATCGACCAGAAGACCCAGAGTTCTCGCGCCATGCCCATCAAACCTCTCACATTCAAGGGTGACAAGAAGCCCAAGAAGCGCAAGCACCGTCACGACGAAGATGTCGACGACGCCCAGAACGCCGGCGGCCAACCGGCGGTCGATCCCTCCGACGATGACTCCTGGACCACCCCCGACGAGCCCAGCGACCTCTCCGGCCCCGTCGTGCTTGTTCTCCCCACCACTCCCCCCACTGCTCTCGCCGCCGACGCGCACGGCAACGTCTTTGCCTCGCCCCTAGAAAATATCGTCGAGGGCGTGGCTGAAACCGTAGAGCCTCATGACGTGCGACAGGTCTGGGTCGCGAGTTCCGTGGCGGGTTTGTCAAAGGGAGAATTGAGCTTCAAGGGTAGCCATGGCGGGTATCTGAGCTGTGACTCGGTGGGCGTGCTGGGTGCGAAAAGAGAGGCCAGAGGCGTCGAGGAGGGATTCGTAGCAGAGATCGTGAATAACGCTGCAGATGGCAAAACGAGATGGCGGCTGCGGACGGCGGCGTCAAAGTCCGAAGACGGGGACAAAGGCAGGCGATATCTATGCGCCGTCACAGAGGTGAAGCAGAGTAATGCAAAATCAATCAACATTTCACTTCGTGGAGACGGCGAGGCTTCATCGGAATCGACCCATCTCGTCTTCAAAATGCAAGCCCGCTTCAAACCACGACTGCAGCAGAATAAAGAGACAAAAGCAAAGGAAAAGGTCAGCCGGAGGGAGCTCGAACAAGCGGTCGGGCGAAGACTGGAGGAGCACGAAGTGAAGCGCTTGAAAAAGGCTAAGAAGGAAGGGAATTTCTACGAGGAGGTCCTGGACGTCAGAGTCAAAGGGAAACATGATAAGTTTGCCAGTTGATATACCTCGTTGGCCCTATCACAAATGTGACCACGAAGCTACGACAGACTTTGCGTATTCAACCTGAAACGGACATTTGACCAGAACATCATTCACATAAACACTCATTACCCGTGCGTTTTTCCAACCATCCTATCATATATCAACGCATGTACCTCCTGGTGCCAACGTAAAGACACTGTACAGACGCCAATCGCTATGCAACAAATCTACCAAAGGGTATATGGCCCGAACATCATCACCTCATCAAAGACTGGGGAACAATCGACCAGCAACACGGCGCCCTGGATCATGAGTTAGCGACAGTTCCTGTGGATTTGGGGTGTAGATTGAAATACTTACAGAGAGGTCTTGACTCCTCAGCCACCCGACCTTGATCAGCCCGCTGTTCATAACTGCGAGCTTCTCTACGCGCCAGGCGTTCACGTAACCACGCTCTCCTCGCGGATACGCCCTGGGCTCGAATCTCAGCAGGGACCTCTTCTTCCGCCGTACTTCGCCTGCGAGCGGGTGATGCATCCTCTATGGGCGCACTAGCACTCCTGGCCTGATCCAGGGGAATTTGAGGAGAGACCATCGGCATCGTCATGCCCCGAAGGGAGCGGCCGGCTAGCGCAAGAACCGGGGCAGGAAGTCGAGTCATCGGGATGCTTATCGCTGGATCTTCTTGTGCACCTGCTCGCGCCCGCATCCTCCGCATGAGTCTCTCCCGCCTGACCATGAGGTTCGTGACTTGGACGGGACAGTATCCTGGTGGGAGTGATGATTTCTTGCATAGGGGACATAATGAGCTGTTGTCGCGGAGGAACGAATCGATGCACTCCGGATGGAAGACATGGTTACAAGGCAGTTCGCGAACGCTGGTCTCTCCACTGATGAAGTCGTCCAGACAAATTGGACAAGTCGACTGAGAGAATGCAACTGGGCGGACCACAATTGCGGGGGCGATTGCACTATCAGCGTCTTTTGCGTCAGTGTGCATCGATTTGTCCACCTTCGGTTTGACTGTTTCAACTGTTTCCTGCTCGACAGATTCGTTTGGCCCGTCACCGTTGACGCTATTTGGCTCCGACCTGGCATGGTACGTGTACTTTGGCATTTTGTCAATTAGCTCTTGTGGCACTTGCAGCCTCTTGATTCCCAGGGCCTCCAGATCGACCTCTCCATTTGCCACTCGGCGCTGGAGGATGCGTCGTTGTCGTCGTTGAATCATGTGCATGACGATCGAAGTCATCAGGACCACGGCCAGAAGGATAGCCAAGACGATGATTAAAAACACCCATAGCGAAGGTATGCCGCTGGTAGAGTTGACGTCCATTCTTGCATACAGCCTGACAGTATCGTGAGGGTCGTAAATTTCCACCAGCTCACTACCAAATGGGACCTCTGACATGTTTCCCGAGTATCGTGCTAGTTCATCCAGAAGGAAAGCTCCCAGCATCCCAGGTACGGCATATACTGGATACTCATTGTTGGACTTCCATTGTCCACCGTCACGAAGCGTCCAGGAGCGATCGCTGACGGGAGGAGGCTGCGAATTCGAGGCCCCAGGCTGAAAAAATATTGCTCCTCGGACCTGATCGGACCGCATGACAGAGAGGTAGGAGAAAACGCACTCAGGTTCCGTCCATGGTGCCAACGCAATCAATGGAAAGTCGCCCGGAGGTATTTCTGCCCGTGTCGTGGCATTAAGTGGAATCAGGGATCTGGTGGAGTTGTCACAAGGACTGGACGCCGGAAGAGCGGGAGTATATAGAAGGCCTTGTATGACATCGTAATGATGAGGATTGTTGGGCGATAGGGTGCGAATGAGACCCGAAGCTCTCAGTGCAAAGCCAAGCGAGTCCTTTCAAGTATTAGCAGAGTCATCTTTTGGAAGTCTGGTACGATGTCTTGATGTTTCATACATTGACAATGCGGGCTCCATTGGAGGGGTCGTAATCTGGGTTGGGCAAGACAATCGCAACAACGCCGAAGTCCTGTGCGGCTGTGCTGCAGGTAAGCGCCTATTCTTGGGTGAGACAGCAACACAAAAGGTCATACGTACACATGGTTATCTAGAGTGTTCGAAACAGTTGATTGCCACAGACTGCAAAGGGAACGGTTGCGCAGGCTCAGTCGGCCGGGTACATGACTTGCGATGTGCGACAGGAATATCCAGACACTGGGCACCGGCAAACACGGATGGAATTGGAGAGAGGCTTGCGATATTCGGATGACGCACGCATCAGGTTCATCAAGCAAACGTCGTCAATAGAAGGCCTTGCGACCGCGTCGAGGCCGAGGGGGACGACGTATACCAAAGGTGCGAAACAACGTTCAGGAAGGGAAACGAGGAACGGACTTCCACCTCAATTGAATAATCGACTCCCGACGATCTGCGGACTCTGAATGAATGCAGCAATACAAGCGGTTTTGCCCATTCGGGCTGCTCCTCCTCCAAGGCATGCCCAGCCTCTTGAGATTTGTCTCAGCATCATGCAGATTTTTGCGGGGCTGGGCGTCTGTGAATGGGCGCTGAGGGGGGCGAGGGGATTCCTTCAGATCCGGCTGATTCCCTCGCTAAATCAGTTTGTTTGTTTCGGGGGGGGGGGCAAACCTACAAGCACTCGTAAAGGGCCACACAGCCTGTAGTCGGCCTGGGCAAAGACCTGGGCAGGCTTGGACCGGCTTGGACTGGTTCTCCAACCCGCAACTAGGCTATTCCGCTTAAGCAGAATCCGATCCGTCCCCCTTGTAAACTCGCCAGACAACAAGCGGAATGTTAGCCGACAACATGCTTGGCATTCACCTGCGGCGGTACCAACGTCAAGTCTGAGGAGTAGTGTCAAGAAGTTGGTATCGAGTCGGAACCACATCTAACAGCGCAAAGAAGCCACTGAGCCGGCAGCGACTACCTCATTGACTGTCGCGTCGGCAATGGTTTGAAACCTTCGTCAGGAACCTCCACAGACATCTGACTGATGGGAAGATCGAGCGTTCAAACGCCACTCTCAGCCACATCCTGTTCCCCCGATCATCCCTACCATCATTAAGTCAGGACACGATCCAACCATGCCTCCCTTACCAAGTGCTAGCAAGAAGAAGAATCGAGACGGGCGACGGTCTCGAAGCAGAAACACGACACCAAGCTCGGTGATCAGTGCTGGAACTGCCCCGCCTGCACCAACGACCACTCCGCTCCTCGAGTTGGAAGTGTCCAAACTCTTGGTGTCTTCGAAGCCGAATTATGCAGAGATCATAGACCATCTGGATACTCATGGCTCCAAACTGGAGCCCAAGTCGCTGCACGATATCATTGACCAGCTGAAGCATCTCAGTGAATCCGCCGAAAAACGCGCCGAGTCATGCGAGAAAGCCATCCGGCTCATCCATGAGCAGAAGAAGAATGTGGAAACAGACCAGCAAGATCGCGATCGTCAGGCTGAGCAGGCTCGCCGGGCTAAAGCGCGCAAAGAGGACGGCCAGTCGCAGAAGAATCCCAAGGCGAAGAAACGTAAAGACAGACCTGAGACGGTGGACAATGTCGAGATCAAGAAAGAAGGTATGTTTGTTGTCCATCTACTGACTCCTATAATTCTATATTCAATGCCATCTTGGCGCTCATCCGGCAAACTTCCTGTGTTGAGTTTTCAAAGGTCTCTATGAGGCTCTATATGGCGACCAGAATTCACTAACGACATGTGTCTAGAAGAACCTTCAAAGACAAAAGTGTCCCGTGCCACACCTGGTCCCTTGGACAGTCCTTCTCCTTCAAAGAAGACCAAACTCAGCCCCGGGACATCATCATTGTCCGAAGTCGCTGATTCTCCAGACGCCGCAGCTGCCAGCGCACACGCCTCACCAACCAAGTCGGACGTGTCTATGTCAGACGCAGAAGACAACCGCGTTGTTCCGCCACCCATTCCCCAGCAAGGTTTCTTCCCTGACCCCCTGGCACCTGATCCAGTAATCTACCACATTCGCGAAGTGACTCCAGGCATGTCAGACGAGGAGAAGAAGGAGATTTACAGTGTCACGGCGTATCCGACGAAGGACCTGAGTGACCAAGTCGCCGGCACACCACCTGACAAAGACTTTAGCAACGCTAAGCCAACGAACCAAGTCGCTGCTAACACTTTCCTCACCTATGTGGAACCGTATGTCCGACCTCTGACAGAAGAGGACATTGCATGGTTGCGTGAACGAGTAAGTGGATGTAATCAACACCAGAAGGAGTCTTTACTGACGTGACGCAGGGCGATCGCACTACTCCATTTCTCGCAGTACCCCGAGGCAAACGTTCCTATCAAGAGATCTGGGCAGAAGAAGATTCGGGGTCCGTTCCTGTGGAGAATGGCAACGAGAAATCCTTGAACCATCCAAGAGGGAGTCTGGAACAAATCAACGATGACAACGTCGCGACAGACCAGATCTCGACGGGACCACTCGCTAGCCGACTGCTTTCCCTTCTCAAGTTCGAGCATCGCTCCCCACCGAGTGAGACCAATCCTACTGGCGACCTGAATACATTCATGAATGATGGCAACGATACTATGGATTTGGATGGGCTCACTAATGGTCATGACAACTCTGAGAAGCCACTGCCTCCCGCAGCAGCCGTGGCAGACCAGGCACCTGCCAAATCGTCTAACTCCCAGCGCCTCGATTACGTGCAGAGTGAGGAACGAATCAAAGGTGAACTTCGACATCTTGGTTTATTGGGCCAGGATGAAAATCCCGATTATGACGCCCACCATGACGATGATATCAGCGAGAGATTGCGTCTGCTGCAGGGTGAGCTGCGTCGCGTCATGGTCGTCAACGGGGCACGCAAATCTCGTCTGCTGGATCTGGCCAAGGAAAGACTCGCTTTTCAGGAATACAGCACTATCCATGAAGACCTTGACAGCCAAGTTCAACAGGCCTACCTCAAGCGAACTCGTACTTTGGGCAAGACAAAGAAGGGTGGACCAGGAGCCAACAAACCAAAACCGGGCAGCCACGGTGTTGGTGGACCTGGAACAGCAATGAGCGTGAACAGAGCAAGAGACATTGGTGACTCGGCCCGGATGCTTATGGATCGCAGAAAGAGATGGGAGAACTGCATCGGTCCGGTCTTCAAAGATATGAACCACGGCATTCCTCCCAAGGGCACTACACTGTGGGATCCAAAGATCATGGAAACGTACGAGAAAGCCGAGTTGGAAGCTCTTGAAGAAGAAGCAGAAGAATGAAACAAAGGGCTTCGGGCTATTCTATTCTTGCCTGAATGAAACCGAACAAAGCATCTTCTATGTTGGAGTAACAGATCACGTGGCAGATCACGTGGGCTCCATGGCGAGTGGTGAGAAGACGATTCCGAAACGAGCCACAACAAAGGGGATGATTGGCTGGAATTGACCCTGTGCTCACTGTCGATAGTCTTTGCTGCTCGATCACTCGGGAAGGAAAGAGAGAACAAAGGGAGATAACTTTGTCTGTCGCCAATTCGCCTTGAGCAAGGATAATGGTGCTCCGGATGCGGCCGGGAAACATAATGTATGCCATTACGGCGTTGACGAACCGAAACAAATTCAATGGCCTTTTGACCACGCTTTCTCGATCTTGCTGACTGCTTTTCAATTGACCAGGCCTTCGTTATTGCCCTTTTGTGTACTCTGACAACTCTCCACCACCAGCAAAGGGCTAATCTTTTCTGGTACGGAACAGACTAGATACCACAACATGGCGTTAGATCAGTTTCGTGTGGACTGGGACCCAAACTCCCTCCAAACATTCTTCAATGACGCTGACCAGCGGGATGCTGTGCCTGAGTCACCTACTCTGCACTTTTTTAACTGGAAGGAGACCGATTCCTTAGGTCGGACGAGGTCGATTGGCTCAAGGTTCTGGCATCTTTTCTTCTCCAGCCTAGATATTCCTGACGAACACGAGTGGCACTTTGAAAGACCGTTGGGCAAGGTATGTTCTTGGACACGCCGACGCCGTATCCTGCATTTGGGGGACGATGACTCCCTTCGCTTCCTTTACCGAAGAACCCCAAGCTGACGCGGGTTGTCGAGGACATTAGGGATCGTTTGGTGCGGCAGCCCTCTATACAAAGCGGAACGCAAGGCAAGAAAAAACAGATGTAAGGAGTCCACATTTCTTGGTAATTCTTTTCGGAGGAGAGAACTGACGATCGTGTTGGACCAGGCATTCGTCCTGAAAGTCGCAGATGTCGAACCACGCATCTTCATTCCCGCAAACGGGAGGACGATCAACCTGACTGACGAAGCGGCCATAATGGCGCAGACCAACGATCTCGGGTCGGACAATCTCGTGCGCCTCCGTCAATACAAAGTCGACCAACAATACTGCCGATACTACCTTGAATTTTGCGAGTTTGGCACGTTGGAGACTCTCAGGCTGAGATACAAAGCATGGAAGTAGGTGTTGCCGTCCCGTCTTCTTGCCCTCTTGTTACCGGTGAGCAAATTCTGATCACGAGCGATTCTCTGCAGTCGATACCTTCCCGAGCCTTTTCTCTGGCATACGTTCTATTTCCTGGCAAACGCGTATCTGGACCTTTGCACGGGTCCGTATCGGAGCCTGAAGTTTTGGAATTTCGGACAGGCACACCCCGGCCAGTATCTCCTGCACAACGATCTCAAGACGGACAATATATTCCTGGCGGACCATACGAACAGGGACGAGGGGGCTATATGGTATCCCGTACCCAAGATCGGTGACTTTGGCTTGGCCACGACGACCAACCCCGACGAACTCACGACAAATACGGCCGCTGCCTTACAACGAGGCACTGAAGTGTGGGCACCACCAGTAAGTCCTCAATCTGCTGAAATCCCTTCATAGTCTGTTTTCGTGCTCACACAAGATTTCCAGGAACTACGTATCCGGCTTATGCAGCGCGGCGTCCGGTATCATTTTGAAGAGGACGTCAACCCTCAATTCCTGATCGACGGCAACGTCAGTCTGCATCGAATCCGGCCCGAGGCCAATATATGGGCCATCGGCGCCGTCATGTGGACCCTGATGACGATGGAGGAGATTGATGAACTCAGCGAAAGAGTCGACGACATCTTGCTGAGCCAAGGACGAGCCTGGCGGGCTTTTGACAGGGTCAATGTCGTCGGCAGCGTCGGCCCGGAAATCACCAGCCGCTACAGTCCCCAGCTCATCGCGCTCATCCGGGAATGCACGAGGTTGAAACCAGGCGATCGACCGCAGCCGGACCGCTTGGTGGAGGACGTCTTTGAGAACCTGGTCCGGTGCTTCGAGCGCGAGCAGGAAGTGTTCCTGCGCACGGGCGACCCCTCTCGCCTCAAGGTGGCCTTTGGCCACGACGACATCAACGATCTGCCCGACGGCGGCGCCCGATTCCCCAAGCAGCCCATTTTCTGGGACGACTTTGCCGACCATCTCCTCTGGAGTCCCAAGGATGTCGACCTCGTCTGTCCGCCCTCGGCGCCCGAGTATCTCCCCTTTGACGACCAGTGGCCCGCTCCGCTGCGCAAGAGATTCAACGACAGATGGAGTCGGGCGGTGCAGAAACGAGATCGAAGAGCCGCCGCCGAGATGGCCCAAGCGGCCCAAGCCGCAACAACATCACTACCACCTGCGGTGACCACTACCTTCGGTCAACATCAATATCAACATCAACATCAACAGCCCGCGGCCTCATCTCAGCCGTTACCAACCCAGCAGGGGGGCCCAGACCGCAACACCCATTTCCACCACAAGCGTTAGGGGAGCAGCAGCAAGAAGAAGACGACCGTCCTTGAAAGCGGGCAAGGTGGTGATCCGATGTAGTATGTATTCGACTCGATATAGGGACTTCATTGTTCTTGCTTTGCTCGCCTCCTCTCTCTTGGGGGATGCGTGCCGCCACCTAGACATCTAGACACCTGCACATTATCATCATCATCATCTTATTCTTATTCTTGCTATTCATGTTATTCACTGCCACTCAGGCTATATTGGCATGGTATTTGGTGAAACTCGGAACCAGCTAGATTTGTTATCACATCACATTTCTCTCCTACGATTTCGAGCCGTCTTGCAGAAAATGTTCGGACAGCCGGTCAAGAGAAGGATACATGTACGGTAGAAGTGTATGTGCTACGTGTGGGCAGCGAAAATCCCCTGATTTACACGCTGCGCAGCCGTGCCGCAAGCTCCACAAAGGCGGTAGTCATTGTAGAAGTTTCAGGGATTCGCGTGAACCATAACGCTTTTCAGACCTCAGGAATATGCTTGGGGCATGTGCTATATCAGGTTCGCCATATGCTCGGCAGTCGACACCTTCCCAAGAATGCCAAAACACTCCAGACTAGTCAAAGATCGAGAATCAGGTCACACGGCCGAGAATGTCAGCCTTGCGTCTCGCTTCCTTCAGCCCTGTCTATCGAATCACCCATCAACAACGTGGCCTTCGTCCAGGCATCATGTTTCAACCCATTCAATTCTTGTTCCTTGGTCGCAATGTCTTCGTGCATCTTCCTCAACTCGGCGTCGTCACCCATCTTTCGCTCCACATCTGCAATGTCCTTCTGCGCCAACTTCTGCATTTCCTTCGACTTTGTTGCTGTCAGTCTGAGGACCGCAGTGCACCATTTACAGGGGTTTCCTGGAAGCTGTGCTCCGCTCGTAGCCCTGGGTGTATTTGGATCGCCTAGCATGAGATCTTGGTTGTGAGCCTCACGCTTCTCAGCCTTGCACGAGTTGGTGATCGGGGTGTTGGTGGAGGCAAGAGACGTTCCCGACCGAGGCAGGTATTTGGAATGTTCGACCTCAAGCGTGCCGCAGGACAGGCGACCCCAAGGCCGTGGTCTGTTGCAGATCTCCCACAGAGGACCATTCTTCGGGTTGAATATGAGGGAGGAGACCGGATCGTGGTCAGGATAAGGACAGATGTGAAGTGTGATCCGGCACATGGTGATGAAAAGTTCTGGATATGAGACTGCTGGTCGTGCTGGTTCTGGGCTTGCAGGACTCGCACAGGGAAAGATGAATTGGGACCGTGTTGATGTTCTTCCACCAGGACAGAGAAGAGGTATGAGGTATTATACTCCTAGCGAGTCAGAGATGTGAATGTCCGTTTGCCGCTGTGAATGATTGCTTTGGTCATGAGGTGGAGAAAGTTATTGTGATGTCGTGAATGGATGACTGCTGACACTAAGTTGAGTGAATGGATGCCGGGAGCAATTGGGAGAGGAGAGGAGGGAGACGGATGGTTCAATCGCTGCGAAGCATAGTGTCAATACCACGATTCTCTGTCCTATTTACTCCAGGAAAGCGCATCCTCTCCAGCCGCGATTGTCTTGGAGGGAAGAACGAAAACGAGGGCACACAACTGCCTTTTGTTTTGACGCTTTCGTCTCAAACCTGGTTCTCCAGCAGTTGATCAGAGCGACGATTCCCTTTTCCACAGTTTGTCAACTGGCATCAAACAGATACTCCCTGTCCCTACCAAGAGCACATCCACACCACTTTGTCCCAGATTTCCGACTCTCTTGAATATTGCTGAATCCGTTGGATGACCTTTCTCATCTCGACAACGTCCCAGATCCTCACCAGCAACCACAAATCATCAAAGATCCCCGCATTCACCAAGTTCCACGGTCACACATCAAGCAAACCACATAATCAAGAACAAATTACTGCACAAAGACCATCCGAGAGGACACACGGCAACTTGCAGCACTCATATCCACTGAAATCACTTCAAACATCAGCCAAAGAGCCAATCTGACACACTGTCTGCCTGTCATATTCCTGTCCTCAGCCCCCAAGCCTCTCTCTATTTTCATCAGGACCAGTACGACCCCAGACCTCCTGTACTACACCAAGATTGAAAGATGTGTTATGCAATCAAGATTGTCCATTTCGGGTGTGTTGATGGGGAGGAGCACGTGGAGTATGCCGTGGTTCGATGCAAGGGCGGGCTGGAATACATAATGGAGATGCCAGTCCAAGAGATATGTAAGGGGGTGAAGCAAGTGGAGGACTGGAGGATGTCTCCTTGCCGCTTTTGCAAGGAGTACTTTGAATCGCGGCGTGCGTTGGGAGGAGCTGGTGGTCGTGCCCGGGCGGCGTCTTTGGACGCAGATAGGCCCAAGGCGGCAATTGACGCCTTGTTGTAAGGCCAGGGGAGTGTCAACGAGATATGACGATAGGATTCTTCGATAACAAGCATGATTCGATCAACTGTGAAAAGCGTCCGTCTTCCACTCATATTCCTTTAATAAAGACGGCACCGGATCTCCTAACTCGTTCGGAAGATGCGACCCATCGACAACGTATAATACTGCGATGAGTCCCACGTTGTCGCATCGGACATTGGCAATGACAATGTGGTGAGATCAGCGGTCGCCCAGAATCCATCTTTCGGTATGCCCTCAGCGCTTGCTGGCAGGGCTTCGGACTGAATGAGTTCAGAGCCTCCCAGGGTCGGGGATTGACGGTCCAGCGGCTGTCAAAGGGAGACGTTATCATGTCAGCAACGTCCGCCGCCTCGGGAAATTGTCAGCCTGGACGAAGACGGCCACCATGGACAATTCCTTCACGACAATAGGGCCGGCGGTAGCCTCTCAGGTGACATGTTGAGACTGACATCGATTCGTCCTCTCGTCATATTATTGTTTTGTTGCTTGTAGACGACCATGTCTAATGTCTGTTGTTTTCATACTCTCTCACTGACCCAGATAGCTCCCCTACATCCATATCGGATGACATCCGTCAGCGGCTGGTATGGCTGGGCCTCCTTTGCATCATTTTCGACTGCATAATCAAGATGCTCAAGCTCCTCATCGCGTATGCGCTTAATTTCATCAATCAAGACCTTCAGTTCAGGATCAAGCTCTTCTCCCTTCTCTTTCAGTTCCGTCATCCACTTGAAAAGCTCCCGCACTTGGCCGTTGTAATGATTCCCAATCTCTGTCTCCACTGCCTCTGTACAAGCCATAGCAGCCTCTCTTCCCATCATGCCCGTAGTCCATCCTAGTACAGTTGCTGCCACTTGCCAAACCGGATACATTGCGGTGGGGCGAATGCGGTGCTTTGCAAGGAGTTCATTGAAGACTTTAAAATGCCCAGCTTCTTGGTCGTACATGTGTTTCATAAGTGGCCGGAGATATGGATATGCTTTGACAACAGGCAGTGTCTGAGCGCTGTAAATGAGTGTGGCGGCGAGTTCTCCCGCTTGGTTCACACGCAGTGCACTGTCGAGGAATCTCCTCTGTTCTTTGGAAAGGACTGTTCTAGGCTGAGCGGAGTCTTGATCTGATTCGGAGGTATTCTGGGTGGACATCAGTCGGACTGTAATTTGTCTTGATATAGGTAAACATGAGTTTGGACGTCTCAGAGCACCAGTTATGGCTCTGGCACGACTCCTGAGTATCATTGTTGCAATAATCTGGTCATCACTCTGGGGATAGATGTGACCAGAGAGACAGACTAACCTTGCCTCTCTCCATGAACGCAGGTCGTGCGAGAACTATGGGTACTTAGGCGTTGCGAGTCATAATGTGGGAAACTTTGCCGATAACCTAGTCATGCAGTTTCCCATACTGGCAGGTTTGCTCTATGCTCCCTGGAGGATTCAGGAAAGACGCCTCACCACCTGTCTTCCTCTCACCGTCCACTTCTCATATATCAAAAGGTTTCTTCTGGTTCTGCTCTGCCTGTGTACCATTTGACACATTTATTTGTCCTCATCTGGTTCTTTTTTTCTCTAGATTAGAGTTGGTTTAGATCGGTGGTCGATGTTGAACATTTTCTGCCGCACCTCGGGACTCCTTCACTAACGACCAAGGCTTCACTCAACAACGTTGCCTTTGCACCCCGTGGCAGTTTTTCCTCCTCCGGCTGTTCGCCTCACCTTCTTCCTTGGACCATCTACAACGCCGAGTGTCAGTATTCACTAACACTAACTGCCTCACCATGGCCGACCTGGATGCGGAACTACTTGCTCTCGCTGGAGGCGACTCCTCCGGTGAAGAAAGCATGCCATCATCCCCCAAACCAAAGTCACCTTCGCCACCACGCTCTAAGAAACAAACAAGAGAATCGCCTTCTACAGACATGGCTCGCAAGGGTGTCGCAAAGGCCGTCAAGCGCACTAAGCGTCGCAAGACATACTCGGATGATGAGGATGAAGTGTAAGCCTCCCTGTTCACCTGCATGCCGCGATCACTGACACACTCTTTCTGCAGCTCTGTGCTGTCGCAACACTCGGAGTCTGCGTCCATGTCACAGTCCGATTCCGAAGCCAACTTCAGCGCCGGCGCAGACGACAAGCCGATCTTCCCCTACGAAAAGCTCTACTATGACGCCGAAGACAAGGCCAGGATCGAAGCGAAGCCAGAAATTGAACGTGAGGAGATCCTAGCGCAGCGCAGCGAACAGGTGGAGCGCCATGAACAAGATCTCACTCTTCGCCGCCTTGTCGCCTCTCGCGCTCGTGAGGAGGCAAAGAACGCCGCGAAGAACAAGCGCAAGGCTAGTGCTGCGGAACTGGAGGACACCCAGCGGAAGAGTACGCGACAGCGCACAAAGGTTGGTGGTGGTCGTGTCGGAGAAGCCAGTAGCGCCATCGAAGCCTACAAGCGCCAGCGCGAAGAAAAGAGTCTCCGTGAAGAGCAGCGCAAGAAGGACGGATTGGTGAGAAGAGCGGCATCGCCACGAGACGACTACAGCGATGCGGATGCTGAGGGCGAGAGTGACAATGACTACGACGACCGTCGCTACAAGAGACGAACCCCCACCCCACCGAGAGACGACCCCATCGCCGAACTCGCCGACATCCAGAGAGCCCGCGTTGGTCGCGACAATTTTGCCCAAGTTTGCTACACCCCTGGTTTCAAAGAAACTATCACCGACTGCTATGCCCGTGTCTGCCTTGGTCCTGGTCGTAATCCGGGTGTGAATGAATACCGCCTGTGCTTAATCAAGGGGTTCACCACCGGCAAGCCATACGCCATGATTGGATCCAACGGAAGACCATTCCCCGTCGATATGTACATCATCGCAGCACACGGGAAAGCAGAGAGACCATGGTCATTCCTCGAATGCTCCATGTCCAAATTTACCGATGACGAATGGCGCCGCTACCGATCTGTCATGGCCAATGAGGATTGCAAGCTCCCTACCAAAGCGTTCATCAATTCCAAGCTCGACCAAATTAATCGACTGATCAACCACCGCTTTACTGAAGCCGAGATTTCGCAAAAGATCAAGGCTCAGAACGATCTCGTTGAGAAGATTACTCGTAGCCAAGAGAAGGAGGACCTCAAGGCGAAGATTGCTGAAGCTCGCGCTGACGGGAAAGATGATGTTGCCGAAGAATTGGAGAACCAGCTTGCAGCTATTGTCCCTATGAAACTGGCTTTTGGTACGAGCTTGACCAAGCAAGATACGGCCTACGTCAACCCCGAACAGGAGCGTCTGGCAGAGCTCAATCGCCGAAATCAGAGACTGAATGCGGAGAATGTTCGAAAGGCGCAACTTGCAGAGATGAGGGCCCGTAAAGCGAAGAAGACTCTTGCTCCAGGTGTCGACGAATTGTTTGAGGGTGGCAGTGATATCAGTCGTTCGGGCACACCAGTCAATGGCTTGGGCACACCCAGACTTGCGGCTTCAGCAAGCATTTCGCGGACTGCATCACCCAACCCTCTCTCGCTGGCTAATGGAACTCCCCGGAGTGCCACCCCCGTCGCTTCCAGCACCTTCAAACCTGTCATTTTGCAACAGCAGAAGAAGAGAGGCTTGCCGACCATTCGCAAGGCCGCCATGGACGATGAGATTATTGCCAGCATGGACTTGGGAATTGACATCGACATCGATATCTAGGAGTGATGGGATTCAGTCACATGAATTGGCGCCGGACCTGCTTATATGGCTGGACACTTTCCAGTGTTAGGGCCGCAAGGCGTTCGTTTCGTTATCCAGACGGGCAGAGTTGGGTGCTCATTGGACTGGGTCTGGATTGGTCTCTCAAACCTGTGCCGAGTATTAAGACGACGGTCGAAAACAGGAAAGAAAGAAAGAAAGAAAGAGAAGAAAAGCATCTGAGGTAAACCGTGCACTTTCTACGGAACGTACGAAACAAGAGACATGAACCCGGAAAGATACAGATTCTTGCTGCCAACAGAGGGCACACCACACGTCGGAGCGCTTCGAAGCGCCAGACTCTGAATCTGCCAAATGAAAATGTTCACAGACATTTCTCGACCGTGTTAGCTCTTCTACTGCAGCTTCCCTCGTCCTCGACAGCCGCCAAATGCTTCGGCGTCGGCTCATTCGCGGTCGTTCACTCGTTGGTTTTGATATTTAGTCTCACCACCTTGCCCTCTCTTGCCCATCATCTTCCTGCATCCTCATCCTCATATTCAGTTTCATCTTTGCAAGTCAGTGCGACCGCTCCATGTAAGGGTCTTTCCTATCTTCTCACTCAACTGAGTATCAGCAGCAGGGTTACCTCACTTTGGCAAAGCACATGCGAGGGCACTTGGATGCAACAGCCGTCTGCTCTACCGTCGTCGTTTCTTTGGTAAGTCCTTCCTGGCCTTTTGTCTCCGTCCCTGCCTCTTTAGCCGCCCACCTCAATCCCTGCCTGGCCAGGTTTCAGACCCAAAACCATGCACCGAACCCCGCTTCACACGCAGTGACCTGCCTCGGTGCTGTCCATTTCACCTTCTTGGAATCTGGTGGAAGCCTGCCTGCACAGCCTTTATCACTCTTCAACCAAGATCGCCCTTGCCCTCGTCGTCGTCAAAGAGCCACTGATCTGGGCCACTGATTTCACAGGACAGACATTAGATGCTACCATCTCTGGTCAGTGATAATAGCTTTCCTTCTCAGAGTCTCCCACTTGCCTGCGGTCCGCAGGCTGAGTGCTCCTTCGCCACTGAATGGCCTTTTGGCTCTGATCTGCGCTCTTTCTGGCGTTTAAAACGGTAACCTCAAATCGGACACATCCCAACGAGCGATTGGCAATACGTGAACGAGACTGACATTGCCAAGTTACCTTCCAAGGTCGTCGGACGGTACTTACTCTAGTTCTCCAGTGACCCATCCAGATCCCGTTCCAAAAGCAAAGGTGCGACTCGACTCGCCACGAATCTTTCACAATATGTGCCTTTTTAATATCCTCAACTGCCCCGCCCACAACGTACACGAGCTGCGCAGCATCCTCACTTGGCCTAGTCAGCCGGTCGTAGCAGCCGGCCTGGTCCGGTGCAAATGGCACGAAGCTGTCGCGAGAAGTAATCCTGCTTCGAAAAACGATCCATCAGAGTTTTGGGGTCCGGATACCGTGTGTCCTTATGTGGTGATGCGTCATGACACGGTCCCGCCCCCAGAAGATATCATCAAGGGCATCGTGGAGGCCGTGTACCTGGAGTGTGTTCCCGACAGGGGATGCCCAAAGTGCGCAGCTACCATGTCTGCGCACGACATGTTGGGCCGGTTGCCGTCGAGGTCTGAGAAAATCAAGTTTTTTTGCGACTCGCCTCAAGCTGAACAGGCTGCGGTTGGGAAAGTCAGAGATGTCCCTCGAGGTGATGGCCCGGCTGAAGTAAGAGGTGGGCAGATGGCTGGCGGAGAGACGAGCGGGTTGAACGGAGCGAAGCGGAAACATGTTGATGATAAGGCCAAAAAACAAGAGCTGCGGGCAAATGATGGTCAGGACGACAGTGGTAGCGATGACGATCTCCATATCGTCGGGGAGAGAAGGGTGAAGAACCCCCGTTTGTGGCGTGTCCGAGCTACCCAGAAGCACGGAAGCCAGCTTGAATCGAGAACGGTCAGCCCATTCCCTGCTGCGCCGTTGCCATCTGCAATTCCGGCGATTGCGCGGACTGGCTCAAAAACTCCACAGGGACGAGCCATATCTTCGTCTGCGTCGTCAGCAGAGGCAAGCGGAGTTTCAGAGGCTCTGCTTCGACGAAAGGAAGAAGTGGGCATCGCGATGATGGCCCACATGAGTATGGCAACACAGCATCCACATGGGGCAGCGGCTGGCCGTGTAGGTAACAACGGCGGTCCACACAAGTCACGCATAAAAGGCGAAGAGGGAGAAAACGACGCCTCAGGTCGTCAACCGCAGTTGCAGCCGAATCCTCAACCACATCAGCACAGCACAGACCTCACGAAGAGTTCCTCAGTCGAGTCAACGAGCTCTCAAGAGGATCCCCCAGCAAGATCGCCAGTGCCGCCGCCGAATGCCAAAGCGAAAGCCATTGGCGAACACGTCTCGGACGCCTTCAAACGTCTCGACGCAGCTGCCGCAGCGCGAAAAGACGGTCTTGC